TGTTTAACAAACACTTCTTCTAAAATAAAACCGTTAAGAAAAACACTTTTGATATCCTTTTGATAAAGTATGAATTTTTTATGACAAACAAATGCAAAAAACATGCGAATAAGTTCTAATCTAGCAACTAGTGCAAATGTTTTTTTTTTCAAAATCGATGCTTTATTCTTGATTGTAATCTCAGTCCATAATCTAGTCTTGTTACGCACAATTATTCCATTTTCATCATGTTTATTTCTAAAGACCCATTTAGTACTATGACGGTTTGATCATTTAGTTAGCGACTAAATCCCAAACATGGTTCCGTTCAAAAGGAAGGAAGAAACAGAAGTTACTAAATTGAAATCCAATTCTAAAAGATCAAAATCAATAAAGTATTGATTAAGTTCTTCTTGTATAGCTAGAATCCAAAATTCATCAAATTCGGCCTCTTTGAAGTTCTTTGGTTCAATTTGTGAAATGAATGCACAATACTTAAATGATTTTTAATAAATGCTCTAGTAGTAATACCTTCTGATGGATCACCAGTGATTAGTTCTTTAGAATGAAAAAGAACAAACCTCCATTTTTTTGGTAGAGGTAAATCATTTTGGACTTCGGTTGGCACTTCTTCGCTTTGTCGAACATTTTCTCCTTCTTAACGTTCATCTTGGGGATTTTTCTTGTATTAATCTTGAATACTCATTTGTTTGAATGGAGCTTCCAATCCTACATCAATATCAATACATTTCTTACGATCAAGAGAGTTAGTTTCATTGAAAGTGATATACATAGATTCTTTAACGACTAGAGTTCTTTTGTTGAAAACTCTATAAGCTTTACTAGTCATTGATATCCTAGAAAAATTCCAACATTGGATTTTGAATCAATTTTTTCAAGTTTTCTTTTGTATTCAAGATAAAGCATTTACACCCAAAGACTTTGAAATATCCGATATTGGGAATTCTAATTTTTCAAGATTCATATGGAGTTTTGATTTTCTTTCGACTAATTAAAACTCTATTAACAATATAGCAAACGGTTTAAACGGCTTCGGCCAAAAAATATTTTGGCATGCTATTTTCATTTAGTATGGTCCTAGTCATTTTTTGCAATGTGCAATTCTTCTTTTATACTACATTTTTTTGAGGAATTCCAGAAGTCGAGAAATTATGTTCATATTCATTTTCATTACAAAACTAATCAAATGCTAGATTTTCAAATTCTCCACGATGATCACTTCTAATAGTTGTAATGGAGTACCCCTTTTCATTTTGAACCTTTTTGCAAAAATATTTCAAGGTTTTTAGAGCTTTATCTTTGAGACTTAAGAAAAGTACCCAAGTGAATTTAGAGAAATCATCAATGATGACAAAAGTATAGTGTTTTACACCTAAACCAGCGGTTCTCGATTGTCCAAAAAGATAAATATGGAGTAATTGAAGTGATTTTGGAGTAGATGAGTGCAATTTGGGTTTGAATAAACTTTTCACTTGTTTACCAAATTGACATGCATCGTAAATTTGTCTTTTTTAAACTTCAAATTCGGTAAACTTTTGACAAAACCATTTTTGGAGATTTTTGAAAGAAGGTCCATCTCAACATAACCTCCGTCATTCTTCTTGTAGTTCAATAGTAAAGTTCTTTCTCCAGTCATGTGCTTTGAACACCTGTTATCCAAGAACCATTTGCTCGTCATCTTCTTTGGCACCTACAAAAATAATTCAATTTTTTATTTTTGGCACCCACACAAGCTTGTGTCCTTGGTAGTTATTTTTAGTGGATCCTCGAGTCCACTTGCTTTTACTTTTAAAGTGTAACTTCTTTTTTATTAAACAATTGTAGGCAATATGTCCTTCCTTGTTGCAAAAACTATAAGTAGTTTTTGAGGAAATTGTATTTGAGGTTTTGACAAATAAATTTTTGAGAGATTTTTGTTTCAAAAATAGTTTATATCCAATTACTCCTTTATAAAAAACACAATTTTGATCATCGAGCATTAAATCAAAATTCTTCTTCCTTTGAGAGAATTTAAAAACAATATTTGTCAAGTTTTCAACCTTTTTTTTTCAAAAAGCATTTTTTTTATACAATAAATCATAATCATTTTCTTTTTAGTTTTGAAAATGTTCTTCATTTCATTGTTTAACAGCTTAAATTTCTTTTTAAGAATAGAATGACTAAGAGCGAGTTTTTCAAATTCTTCTAAAATTTTATCATAAGAAGAAAAATCATCATATGAGAATTTTTCAATAGAATTTACATCATCTCAATTGCCATGAAGCACATGTATGCGATCTCTTTTTGATTCATTTTCATCGCGATCATCATCGTTGCTTTCATCCCATGATGCTTGAAGTGCCTTTTTCTTGAAATTTCTCTTCTTGTTTGGATACTCGATTATCTTGTAATCGGGTTTGTTACAATCGTAACAAACAATTCTTTTGCTTCTTTCTTCGCTTTTTTTCTTTCTTTTCAAACTTTCGATTATTTTGAAAGTCTCTCTATTTTTGACAAGAAGTACAAGATCATCAAACTCTTCATTGCTCATGTATTCACTTGAAATTCCTTCTTCAATTGTCGATTTGAGAGTAATTTGACGCCTAGGAGGCTCTTTTGATTCTTCCTTGCTTTTTCTCTTTTTTCCTTGGTTTCAGCATTGTTGAGCTCTTATGTCATCAAAGTTCCATAGAGTTCCTCCAAGGGATAAGAGTTGATGTCTTTGGTGCTCCCTATCAACATCCTTAATGAACTCCAATCTTCCGAAAGCGATCTAAGCATTTTACTTACAAGTTCACCGTTAGTAAATTTACGATCAATGTACTTGAGGTCATTAACAATATCGGTGAAGCAAGTAATCATGTCAACAATATGTTCATCTCGTTTTCTGAAGAAATTTTCAAATATGTCATATATCATATGCGGAGTCACATGTGCTAATACCATTGAACTCATTTTGGCTCTACCATTCAAGGACAATCTTCTTTTATAATCTTCATCATATTCCTCTCTAGGTTTAGGAATAGATTGATCAGATTTTCCATCGATTTTAATAATCTTGGTGGGCACATAAGGACCAAATTCAATGACTTCCCAAATATTATAATCTATTGATTGAATGTAAATCATCATTTTAGTTTTCCAATAATTATAATGTGTATCACCAAAAAATGAAGGTCGATTTGTAGAATGCCCCTAGAGATTTTGAAGGTTGTTGTGGTTAACCATCGCTCGAGATTGTAAAGTCTTAATTTTAAAATGAATACATAACTCTGATACCAATTAATAGCCCAAAAAACTAACCAATAGGGGGTGAATTAGTTTTTAAAACTTTTTTCAAAAAATTAATCTATAATCAAGTACGTAATAACTAGATAGATTAATTTAAATAATAAGCACGAAAATGAAATCAATAAGTAAAGAGAGATAGAGAATGCAAATGGTGTAATTATGGAAGTTCAATCCAATGCAATGATCTACGTCCTCCGTTATCAAGCTCTTTGGCACGAGCAATGCCAATTTCACTATGTATATTGATTTATGGTGCAATTCAACCCTTTACAAAGCTTCCGGTGACTTACAAATAAGGAGCATCGATCCTTTTACAACTTTGAGCTTTACGCGACCTCAACACGACCTTCAAGTTTAAAGAGAATTGATTTTACAAATTGAAATCCATCTCTCAATAAATGATATGATCATAATTAAGTATAAAGAGAGAAATAGGCTAACACCTTAATAAATAGTAATGAATGAAACTCAAGTATTAGATATGAAAAACTTTGATGTGTAGAATGATTTTCAAAAGTTGATTTGATCAAAAGTTTTCTAAAGTTAAAATAACATAATAAAAATGAAATGAGAAATCAATACATTTTTTGTTCAAAAATATTTCACTTGAATGCTCTTGAATACAAAAGTTCTGACCAACTGGATGACCTACATCGGATGTCCGCTACTGACATGACAACTAAAATTAGCCATTGTGCTTAAAAAATTAGAACGATTAGAATTTTGATTGTTGGGGTTACTAGACGTCCGCCAACTCCATCGGACTTCCGCTAGAATAGAAATTTCTGATTTTCTCTTTTCTTGATTATTTTAACAAGTGTAAATTCTTGAGGGACACATTCATTTATTTTTTCAAAATAAATATCATTGGTAAAGAGTTTAAGAGTCGAATGAAGATTTTGTCATATCGAAAATAATTTTTATGCGGGCGTTTTTGTGAAAAGTTTATCTCATGCATAAAAATTTTAAGATACGAGCTTATTGTGATTCATTGCTAAGAATTGAAGTATTTAACTTTACAAATGAGTTTAAACATATAATTATAATATCTTCAATTGATTTGCCGCGAGTGCTTGATTTGTTGCTTGGCGCAATTGCTCCATTATTTCCAAGCTTGATTGTGAATGTTCGATTTTCATGAAATTCGCAACATGTAACAATGAATATTCAAATGTAAATGTTAGAGATTAAAAAAAATACTTTGTTTGTTATAATCAAAACATAAGATGAACCATAGGTCGATAACAAATACATACGAATATTTAAATACAGATACTTAAGGATAAGAAAGAAAATAGTCTTTCAAGAATCAATGACTCTTTTTCCTCCAAAACCTCAGGCGACGAAGTCCGAAAATCTTTGGGTTCGAATTCAGATTCGGGTGTAGCAGAATGGTGACATTAATTGGGTGAGATGGTTTCTTTGGGAGCTCTCTGGAAGTTCTAGAAATTGGGACTGATTTGGGTTTTTGGGGTGGTTTTAATAGTTTTAGAATATGTTAAATACGCAATTAAATCATTTAATTAGTAAAAAGGGTAGTAATCAAATTAGTAATTTTTTCAGGGTATTAGACCTAATTTGCTCTTGAAAGAACTTAATACAACCAAATTATACCTCGCACTGTGATGCCACACTATTCAAGTATGCTGTTGAATGAACTACATACGACGGGAAAAGTCAGCGATCTCAAGAGTCAAGCATTACCTCACTAAGCCCAACAAAGTCTTTCGGACTAATGTTGCACCAACTTGTACATACAAAAAAATCAGCATCTGCATTATTGAATCTGTCAACCAGAATATGTATACTAAATTCACTGTTCATCATCTCTAACACCGAGAATTTTGTACTGAAGTAAGTTTCTTATCTATTTAAGTCTGTAGCTTGTAATGGATCATCAAGGAATCTTGCCACGACTTGATTTTGCCTGTGTGTTTGTTGGCCGTGATCCTAAGTAGATTCTCACAGCTGATAGAATAACGGACAAGTCTGCCATTGCACCATTTCCATAATCTCCGTTGGGTAGTGTCTTTTTCTCTGGTGGGATGAGGGCAGCTCCAAGCTCATCAATTACCATAAGATGTTGTTCTGTGAAAGAGTTGGTCCACGTGAAGGGATTCATGTCCGGTGCCACAAAGATTGGTTTGTTATAGTCCCACGCCCGAATAATGCATGTCAACAAGTTATCGCATAATCCGCCAGCAATCTATTATAAGAACGCAAGGAACATACATAAATTCCACAAATGTAGCAAACCATGTCTGAATTAGAGCTAAACGTATGCCAGCAGAAAGACCACAATAACATAACATGAAACCTTATTCAGATTCAAAGGGAATATGTAGTTACCCAAATGTTTCAAGTCCGTTTCTCCAACAAGAATAATTATGTAAATTATCGCACGAACTAGTTAATTTAGCAAACAAACATTATATAAAATATGTTTACCTTCCCGAGTGTGTTTGCAGACAAAGGGGCAATGACCATTAGCTGAGCCCACTTACGGAGCTCAATGTGCAGCACACTATCGCCAACTCTTTTCCAAGTCATCCAGTCATCCTGATCGGTGTAAAGTCTCACATTTCTGGGAAAAGTTGCTCGGTCTACAAAATGCAAAGATGCCTGAGTGACGACTGCTTTAACATCTGCCCATTCAGCAAAACAATGGCACAGCTTAGCAAATTCTGTTGCAGCCACGGTTCCACAGGCAGCAAGCAGAATCCTAGTTTTTCTTGGAGCTGCGTTAAATTGAAACACATCCATGTCCAGCAGTTTGGACTATTCCACGGCCTTTTCACAGTACAATACCAATAAGACACTGTCGGAAGCAAAATAAAAGAGAAAAACTGGAAAACCCCACATATAGTCATTAGTCAGCAACAAACATTTACCTGCAGAAGTGAGCACCTATAAGGCTTGGCCAAAAGGATTATTTGATAGCTGTAGATGTTCAGGGGAAAAGCATCATATAGTATACACTATAAATTGTTGTTGTTGTTGTTATTATTATTTATGAAATGGAATATTTCAACGTAAAGTTTTATGCATGCGCAAGAGAAGTCAAAGGCCTTAGTCTGTGTCAGTCCTCTCCTCACAAGTTTATATGAGGAGTGTGTTAATGATACTTGGAGTACAAGGGGGAGGAAAGAAAGGCCGATCTCCAAGCCAACTGATTCCGGAAATAAGGAAGAAATGGTCAAGAGGAGAGGTGTAGTGGATGAACAACAGGATAAATTTCTCCAGGAAATAAAGGGATCAATCGCCTCGTCTACTATCCCAACAACGACTCACCATCTCAATCAAGATATCCTATAGAGATGTGACTTCATTTTGCATAACATTTCTTGTTCTTTCACTATGCGTAAAAAAGAATGTCTCTCAAAAACACGAAATAAAGCATGAGAGCTTGTTTGAGCCTCATTAAATATTAAGAATGCATTTTGGAATAATAGATTGATGAAAAATGCGTGGTTAAAAAATAAAGAAATTTTTTTTATTGACGTTTAATATTATTTTATTGAAGAATACGTGTTTGAAAAGAAGATAGAAAAAAATGTAATTTGAAAAAAATGGAAATTAAACAAGGGAGCATGAACTATCTAGGATAGTTTCTACAACAAAATTACTAATAAAATAATCATCGAATAATGAAGATTTTATTTGACTACACATACATCAATTCAGAATAAGAATTATTACGCCCAATGTTGAAAACAATTCTCTAGCCCCAATTTGGTGCACATTTTGAGTCCAATAATGCATTTTTTGTTTGATGTGATGACGAATATGTGGTTGAAAAAGAAGAAAAAATTATTGATGCGATGAAAAATATTATTTTATTGAAAAATGTATGGTTGAAAATGAGTAGAAGAACTAGAATGAAAAAAATAATGTGGCTCAAACAGTACTACTCTCTACATCAAATTCTAGATGCATACATTGATCAACCACTCAATCCAATGCAATAAAAAGAGAAATGATTCAAACTGTTTCAGTTAATACTACAAGAAAACAAAAATCTGAATCCAGAAATTTTGTTCATTCATTATACTCACAACAGCGTCAATCAAAAATCTCCCAGTCATCCATCACAAGATCCACGATAATAAATAAATAGTAAATCTTAAAAAACTGGAAAAAGTAAAAAATTATGCGAATCTAGCTATGAAAATAGTAAAATTAAATACAACTAACCGAGAAGAGTTCAAAAGAAATTAAAATCCATCCACCTGAAAAAAAAATTTGCATATAAGAGCCAAAACTAGCCATGAAAATAGTAAAAGTTAAGTCAAAATGAACTATCAAGAAGCACCGGAATAAGATATCACGATTCGGACATTAAAAAAACAAAATTGTGATCAGAGAGGAAAATAACTCAGCATCGAACAAATGTAACCGAGAAAAGATCAAACGAAATTAACGTGCACATAACATTATTAATCCGACTGGGAAAAAAAAAAAAATTACACATAAGAGCCATAGCAATCCATAGTAAACAATTTTTAGGATCATCCTGCAGAAACTGCGCATAAATCTACATGCAAATGCTTGAAAATCTGTTTGAGATTAGTAGAATGAAGTGAATTTTACCTCGAGAAGTTGCGGAGTATTCTTGGCGGGAAGAGTGAAGAAATTTGATTGGATTTATGGCTTTTGTAACTAATTCTACGGATTTGTTTCGAACGGAAATCCCATTATTTCCATTTTTTTGTAACTAATTCTACGAATCTAACAGAGGGGATCTTACTTTCCATTTTTTAATTTCGGAAGATTTTATTATTCCTTTTTTAATTTCGGAAAAATTTAATGAAAATTATAGAACTAACATTTCTGTTAGGTTCGATCAAGTACCCCACGTTTTTGCATGATTTCAAGAAACAAAGATGATCTATACAACAACTTCCATTCCTCTCCAAACAGTTATAAAGATCAGTAACAGAAGGGATCTTTTTTGCCTTTTTAAATTTATAGAGAGAATTGATTGAAAAATCCTATAAATTTATCGTCTCAGTTGTATTTAAAAAGGTATACGGACGAAGTGCACAAGGAAGGAAAGTAAATCACCGAATTGAATAAGGAATGATGAGACTAATCAGCTTGATACATTGCTTCCTCGTCCCAAATCCAAGAATCCCTTAGATATAATGGATTTTATTCTATCTTTTGATCTTCTTTGTTTTTGTGTGTGTGTGTGTGTGTATATATATATATATATATTTTTTTTTTTTATTTTGATTAATGAATAGAACTATAGTTGACCACTTGATTGTAACTGGGCTTCGAAGGACTAATTATTTTCTGAAAAAAGAAGAAAAAGAAAAATGGAACAAGAAAGGATGCGGTTTATTATATTTACGTCTCAAACTTTTTGCGTTGTATTTTTATTATTAAATTAATATAAATTGTTTCTGATTATGATTTCTTTCTAAAATTTTCTTAAGATAGAACAAAATGACTCGTTTATCCATTGTATTTTTAAATAAGCAAAATAAATAATAATCCAAAAATACGATTAAATATTTAACCCTCATTTTAAAACTCGTTAACTATATTTTTGGAAGAAAATCATAATTAAGGACAAGATCTTTTGATCAATGAAATGTTTAAAAAAAAAAAAGAACGTGATGAAAGAAAAAGACTTAAGAATATAAGCGTGACAATGAATAAAGGTTAATGGCTTCTAATATAATTAAAATGTGGTGGTGTGACAGGATTATAACCACTTTTTTTAAGGTTAGATCATTACCCTTTGACCCTTTGTATACTTTTGTCCTTGGCCATTTTTCTGACGTTAAATTTATAAACCTTGAATCTTTCTCCTAGTACAGAAGAAATCCTTCTATAAAAATTACCGACTCTCACAAAGGGTTGGGCCCCATGTGATTTAAATATTACAAAAAAATAGGACCCACCTTGATGGGTGTAATTTGTATGTTTTACCAAAAAAATTTCTTTACATGCAAAAGTGCTCATAAACCTTCTATGTTTCAGTGAAATGTGGCATATTAGGAAGGCTTCCTGTTTTGCTAAAAGCAAGGGGCGGGTGATTGATGGAGTGTGATGCATTGTCAAAAAGGATGAACCGCATCCTTAGCGGTTCCCACCTGCCCTGGGCCTTGGTGAAGGAGGTAAATCGCAGATTATGCCTCCAAGGGTACAGGGTGAAGGAGTGTAATGCATTGTCGGTCGGATCGGATGTGGCTCTTGTCATTTCAAATCTTGCACTGAAAATTGACTCACAATCTAACTTCCTTTGCTACTTCTTCCCCAGTTATCAAGAGCTGGGTCGATTGTATACCATTTTTCCTCGCTCCTTACATTCGTGCAGGCTTCATAATAGATGCTGCTGGATTTGTCAGAAAAAAATGTGTTCATATTCATTGTTTGCATGTTTACTCTTTCAAGCATTCACCTCTCAAAGTATTCTCAAATAACATTCAGCCCCTTTTTGATTTCGTTCAAAACAGAACTCTTTAATTCTCATCTTCATTTTCAATCACACATTCACGCAACAAAATGTTTTGAACGTAAATCCAAAACTTTTTTCTTACTTTTTAAACACACATTCACCAAAAAAATCATTATTCAAAACATCATTTTTTTCGAAATAATGATCATCAAACAAGAGCTCTGAGGCCTTTTCTAACAGGCCGAGTAAATAAAGATAAAGCACCCAAAGCTATTAAAGTGCAGCTTTGAGTTCAATCACAGAATAAACATACCAAATCGTTCACGAAATAATAAACTCGACCAACTTTAGGCACGCTGCAATGTGGTTAATATCAAAGGCCTAGCCTTGGTTAAAGAGATCATTTCAATTTTCACATTATAGCAAGGCCTTGAAGAGATCATGATGCTAAGGTGTGTGATTCAACTCATTTATTGAACCGCATCTGGTAATTTTTAGCTATCTAAAAGAAAATGCCATAACGCCTGCCCAAATAAGGGCACTTATATACCAAGAAACCAATGAAATTGTGAAGTTGAATGAATAAACAGAGTTTGTGAGCAACGATATTTTTTCGAAGAATGTGTGGTAAGGTAGGATTCCACGTGCAAAATTATTTTATTAAGAGAAAGTGTAGTTAAAAATGAGTTTAGAGAAAAATCTCTACCAAACAGGAGCTATATATTTGTGGGGAAATCAAGAGACTAAAGGGTCATCTTCGGATCCTTGTTCACCGTCCCATTCATTGTTATGAGGTTGTCGGTGAAAGCCTGGCTCAGTTCTTTTCTGACTCTCTGCAGATTCAATTAACACAACAATCAAAGGCTGAAATACCTAGAAATAACGAGTGAAAATTTACATGTATGTGAGCTTACTCTTGCTAGTAATTGCGGAACGAGTTATGGCTAAAAAGTCTTCCCACTTAAATTTCCTAAGTTCTTGCTTTTCCTCCTCTGATAGTTCAAAGTTGGGCTGCCTCCCACACATGAATGCAGCCCTGCAAATATGAAAATCTCTTCTTGTGATCCAATTTCTAAACTTTACTTTGACTCTACAGTATATGTTTGAACTTTGTACACTGAGCACATTATAATTCTCACAAAATACAAGAAAATAAAATGGTAAAACACATTTAGGTAAAGATCGAAAAAGCATACGGGTTAAAACATGGTAATGATCATGAATTTAAGAGGGAGGGAAAATTTTCATAAGAGAGCTTCGATTGTGAGGGAAGCAGAAGATTCATAGGTAAAGGAAGAGAAATTGTTTGTTTCTGTAACAATAACCAGTAAGATAGCTTCTACAGTCAGAAATAATACCTGTCATACAATCGGGCAGCCTCTTCTTGAGAGCCAACAGTTCCCAAGTGGATTTGTTTCTTGTCAACTTTAATTGCAGCTTGCCATTTCATGTTCTTGAAATACACCCCTCTCATAATACACTGTTCTTGGTTTTCGACGTGCTTCCTCCTGTGTCGCTTTCTGCGTTTAAACTCTGAAACTATGGTACAAAATGAGTGAGATCAACAGAAAAAAAGCAGTAAAGATATAATTTTAGAAGTATTCTACGAAAAGTCTTCATTGATTTTCTAAGTTAAGTAATGAAGAAACACTTCAGTTTATAGAAACTTAAAAAGGTTAATTGTACACACAAGAACATTGGATGATCCTAATCGATATAAGAATCTTACACAGCATGAGCTCGAACAAAAATACGAAGTCTACTGATAAACTCTAGGTAATATTTGTCCACTAATTGGTAGTTTTACTTTACTTACCACACTAATAATTTTGTTAACCAGCTCGCTTTAAAAGGTACATAGCACTTGCGATCTTTGACAATGAATTTGGAACAATTTTTATGTATTGGTGATTAATTAGTAATTAGCAGCCACCCGGAAATATAGGTAAACAAAAACTTAAGGCTCACTCAGTTCCATATATTCCTGATTCCAGAAAATCGATAAAATTTCCCATTGGCTATTAAGTTCACCTTTCATCTTCGACTTACATATAGAAATGCATTCATAGGACAAAAGAATCAAGCAGCATTATAGTTATTATACCCATTGTTTCATGGACAGCCTTCTACCTTCTTTTTCGTTTCGATATAGTGTAACTTCATTGCATTTGTATATCTGACCATCTTTGAGATCTTGAGTGTTTTCTCCATCACAACAATATTACAAGAATTAAGGTGCATATGTAGATAATGCATTTAAGAACTTGTTCCACTTTCCAGTAACAAAATACGAAAATTATACATGTAAATGTAAACATATTACACGTATTGAGGTACCTAGGAGAATAGGTAGAATTATTCAACGTGACAAGAAGTCAGAGTCTTAAAAGAACATGTCAAGACGAATGAGATAAACCTGGAAATGGCTGGACAGGCTCCTCTTTCAATGGACTAAAAGCAGAAACCTTTGACAAAGTGGGGCAAGTTTCTGAGGTGGTTTTCTGGCCAACAATAAAAAGTCAAAAGAAAAAAAATCTTATTCAATATATTGTCTGTGGACATCAAATAGAGCACAAGTGTAGGAATAAAATACAGAATTAATACTTACATAGCAAAACAGATAGACTAATAAAGAACTCAAGACATAATATGTGCTGGAGAGAGGTGTTCATGTGCATGGACCACAGTATGCTCTCTTCCAATTGAATAATCAACTAATGAAATATTCAATTGACCAACCCAGGTTAAAAAAAAAAAAATTGCCTTTGAAATGAAGACCAAGGTCATTAGAACCATCATTTTTGTAGCTTTCTGAATTTCTAGAAGAGACTATTTACATGGAAGTAAGGGTACAAAAAACCATTGTCGATTATAAAAATATTACTACAGACTATTTAACCCCTCCCTCCCAAACAACCCCTGCATGGAGAAATTCTGAAGTCATGCACATAGAATAATTTATTGATTGAATTTTTGTTACAAATGAAATGTACTTGAAATTGATCCTCATTTTTGTTTGTTATGCTGTCTGACTGTAAGAACTGTAGTGTAATGTTTTTGAAGGCAGAGATAAGCTCTACATAGGAATGTTTTTGTTGCATGGAACAGGTTATTCGTAGGACTGGGCCAAAAAAATCGCAGCCCGCTAAACCGAACCAACCCGACTCGTACTGGGTCGGGTCCGTTCGGTTTTAAAATTATTTTGGGTCGGGTCGAATCACTTCAAACCCTTTCAAACCAGCCAACCCTATTTTCTTTGAAGCTTTGAAGTGGCGCACAGCAGTAGACCATTCTTCTTCTCGCCCAGATCTAACCTCCAAGAACACTGGTAAGTCCTTTCGCTCTATTGTTCTAATTAAACCCCTTTTTCTTGAAATTAAACTATAGATTTGAAATTTTCTTGTACAGATCTATATAGTCTTGGTGATTTTCTGGATTTTCTGTACATTGTTGACTGGTTCTCTTGGCACCGTTTTGTTGAAGCTTTTGGTGGTCAAATCTCCAGACGATCTATAAGTGATAATGAGTTAAAGGCCAATAACACAAACAAGGGAAAAGATCATAAAATATGTGTTGACATACAAAAATGAGGCCCAATTAAATGGTCCAAGAGATGAAGCCCAGTTAAGGAATTTGAGGGACAGGCCCAAATGAGACCATTGTAAAATATAGTGGAGGCCCATAAGCAGAGAACTATTATCGCCCAAAGCCTGCAGGACGCCCAAGGTCTGAGCGAATGAAGTACCTTATTGTCGCTCGGAGCAACAGTCTTATTCTTGCCCAAGCCTTCGAGACGCCCAAGATCTGAGCGAATATAGCGTCTTGTTGTTATTTAAAGCGGCAGTTATTGGAACAGTTATTGAGCAATCTCATCACGTCCCACGATCCAAGAATCTCGGTTGCAAGCAGTTAAAAGAGGGGAGTAATAGCATGCAGTTTAAAAATAGCGATTCCTTCACACGTCAGCCATTATGAAGCAAGTGAGTAGTTATAGAGCGACAAACAGTTTCCAAACGGTTTCACAAGGAAAATTGGCAAGGGAGTATAAAAAAAAAAGACATAGAAGAAGGGACCGAATCAATCACTCTCAAACAGAAAATTATGTAATTTCATTTCGTTTAGTATTTATTGTCAATTTACAAACTACTTTGTGTGCTTGTACCCCTTGGAGACGTTTTGCTTCTTCCTAATTGTAATCTTCATAAATAAAGCACCCTCGTGGGACTTTGTTTCGAGAGGTTTGTTCATCACACAATCATCTGAACCATCTTTTAATTGTTAGTGATGCTCGATAATCCGTGAGAAACAATATGTATTACCTTCTGGTTCAATACGTAGGGGGTCAGCGCCTTGGAAAGGTGGAAGTTCTCCAATTGGTTGTGCGATCAAAGACTCTTGGCCTATGAGCTTCTCCTTAAGTAAAGTCCATTCATCAGATGACTTAGACGAAGAAGCTTTGGCGGGAGGCGATGGAATAAGAACCAGTAAAGGCGGAGTCTTCAAAGGAGAATTTGAGTTTTCTTAAAAATTCCGGTAAAACATTAACATATAAATGATTTTTCATGAATAAACAAACTCGAATACCTTCTTCCTAACGACAAGAGGGGCATCATCATCATAATCATCATCATCGGGCAAACCTGACGAAGCTGAAGCTGACCGTTTACGGCTGGAAACACCCTTAACTGTTCCAGTTTGAACAGGTGGGGATTTCGAATGAGAAGTAGGATTCTCGACAGATACAGGAATGACAAGAATAGGAGAAACGGAAGAAGTCCCTAGCCTCTCCGACAAGTGAAAAGCGCGGTTAGCATCAGTTGCAAACAACCTACGCTTCACAGACGGCCAGAATTGTTCAAAGAGAGGGTGAATGACAAAAGCGGGGCTAAGGAGAAACCATTTGTCAAAAAGGTATCGCGAGCATCAATGGCCTGTGCGTCTGTTTTATTGATGGTGTGAAAACGTTCGATCAGACTCTTGGAAAAACAGGGAGGAACAGACCACGTTTGACCAAAACCAAGCTGACGGGCAACAAATTTGGGGGCATATATCTCAACCCCAGCCTTAATATTTGTTCCAGTTAAGATGCCATTGAACAACTCTTTCCCAATCAAATATTGAGNCTCGTAACAACTGACCGACCTACGAGGAGCTGATAGAGCACCAAGTTGTGGAAAATATGCTCTCAACCACAATTGAGCGAGTCAAAAAGGCCCTCTGCCAATAGGAGGTGTGCCATTCCTCAACTAGAATTGAAGAGAAGCCATGCCTCTATAAAAGGCAGTTAAGAATAACGAACAAAGATTTAGAGACCTACCAAGCGCTAATTCATGCGCTATGGGCAAATAAGTGCACAAAAAACATTTTTACAAAGCCAAACTTGAAGGAAGGAAACACGCTCAGTATGGCTAGGTTCTGCACTAAAATTGTTATAAAGTTCTTGCATCGCCGAATAAGAATCAGTGTATCTCTTATCAAATTTTGGGACAGCAGTAGTAACCAAAATGGCAGAAGAAATGATGTCGCCCAGGGGCGGAAGATTAACTAAGGCACTAACATCCCTCAGAATAATGGACATTAGGTCAAGTGGGAAGATAAAAGTATTATATTCAGAAGACCAAAAGCTCAAACTAATAGGGAAAAGCACATGATCATAGATTGGAGGACAGAGAGCGATTTCTAATGAATCAGAAGTCCCAACACGATCAAAAATTGCCTTGGTAGGGCCATGATTTGTCATACGTGCATGCCAAAGGCGGAAAGTAGTATCAGTTTTTGGCCAAATGCGAATACCTTTCTCACGTATTGGCTTTAGCGGAAAAGGGTTCAGAAAATGAGGATCTTGAGTGCAAGGGAACAATTGGCCCACCGCTGCTTGCCCAACAGAATCAACGTCATTAAATGATGGACCCAGGTAGAACTCGTGGAGATTAGGATTGGCTGATGAAAGGGAAGCTGGATTTATATACGATTTTGTAAGAAACTTTTGAAGTCTTCAAAAATACGAGAGTTGTCTGAAGAGCTCTTTGAAGTCGCCATTTACGACAAATTATAATCTTCTCGAGGGTTTTAGGAGTATAAGTATTTGTAGTAGAGAAGCAAGAAGATGAAGAAACGCGACAACGCAGAACATGGGTATAATGGCACGATGAAGTGGCGTGCTCTTTGGTTTATAGGAGTTGCGTGATATTGCACTTTTCAAGATGTAGAAGGTCACTACCAAACAAAATAATGATTGAGATTTTCCGCCCTTTTTGGATTTCAAGCATCGCAGGAAAATATCAAGGACGAATATGACATAAGATTAATAATTGATATTAATTTTGCCATATTGCGAGGTAATTGTTGATATACAAAAATGAGGCCCAATTAAGTGGTTCAAAGAATGAAGCTCAATTAGGAAATTCAAATGATGGACCCAAACGAGACCATATAAAAATCCAAGACAAAGTTATGAAGCGAGACCCATCATCGCTCAAGCCTGCAAGACGCCCAAGAGCTGGGCGAGTATAGTGTCTTATTGTTATTTAAAGCAACGGTTATTGAAACAGTTCATTCCACAATCCAAAAATCTCGTTTGCAAGCAGTTAAATGATGGGAGTAATGGCAGATGGGAGTAATGGCAGCAGTTAAAAAAAGTAGTTTTTTTTTTTTTTAACAAGTCATCCATTATGGAGAGAGTGGGTAGTTACAGGGCAATGAACAGTTTTCAAACGGTTCTACAAGAAAAACTGTCATTCTTGTTAACTTTCAATTACTTTGCAAATTCAGTGTGTTTGTGCTCCTTGGAGGCATTTCGCTTCTTGCAAATTGTAATCTTCATAAATAAAATACCTATCGTTGGGACTTTGTCTGGAGAGGTTGTTCTTTACACAATCGTCTTAACCTTATTTTAATTGTTAGCGAGACTCGATTTCCACGCAAAACAGCATTCATTCATGAGATTTCAGGAGTTGTTTGCATAGAACAAAGTGGGGATTGACATGTACTTAAGAGGCCTTTTTGTGTGGCAATATAATTGTATATGTTTTTTCTTAAATTCTTCTTACAGAGACTTCAGGATTTAGAAAAGTGAAAAATCTGTGACTCAATGTTCATTAGAAACCAAAGCTATCATAAAAATTTGGAATACTCTATGGTAGATTATGAGCTAATTCAGTTCAAAACTTAGAGATAACGGTCCCACATTTGGTGCACACCAAATAATCAGGAAACGGACAGCACAGAGAATCACATTAACACAACTTAGTGATGCACAGGAAGAAAGAGAATTCCATATGTCACACTTACCTCTTTTGGCAGGAAAATATCATTTAAAGGCATGGGATGGACACTCTTTGGCAAGGGAGTATAAAAAAAAAAAGACATAGAAGAAGGGACCGAATCAATCACTCTCAAACAGAGAATTATGTAATTTCATTTCGTTTAGTATTTATTGTCAATTTTCAAACTACTTTGTGTGCTTGTACCCCTTGGAGGCGTTTTGCTTCTTCCTAATTGTAATCTTCATAAATGAAGCACCCCTCGTGGGACTTTGTCTCGAGAGGTTTATTCATTACACAATCGTCTGAACTATCTTTTAATTGTTAGTGATGCTAATAATCCGTGAGAAACAATATGTATTACCTTCTGGTTCAATACGTGGGGGGTTAGCGCTTTGGAAAGGTGGAAGTTCTCCAATTGGTTGTGCGATCAAAGACTCTTGGCCTATGAGCCTCTCCTTAGGTAAAGTCCATTCATCAGATGACTTAGATGAAGAATCTTTGGTGGGAGGCGGTGGAATAAGAACCGGTAAAGGCGGAGTCTTCAAAGGAGAATTTGAGTTTTCTTAAAAATTCAGATAAAACATTAACATATAAATGATTTTTCATGAATAAACAAACTCGTATACCTTCTTCCTAATGACGAGAGGGGCATCATCATCATAATCATCGTCATCGGGCAAACCTGACGAAGCTGAAGCTGACCGTTTATGGCTGGAAACACCCTTAGCTGTTCCAGTTTGAGCAGGTGGGGATTTCGAAGGAGAAGTAGGATTCTTGCAGATACAGGAATGACAAGAATAGGAGAAATGGAAGAAGTCCCTGGCCTCTCCGACAAGTGAAAAGCGTGATTAGCATCAGTTGCAAACAACCTACACTTCACAGACGGCCAGAGTTGTTCAAAGAGAGGGTGAATGACAAAAGTGGGGTTAAAAGAGGATAAGGAGAAACCATTTGTCAAAAGGCTATCGCGAGCATCAATGGCCTGTGCGTCTGTTTTATTGATGGTGTGAAAACGTTCGATCAGACTCTTGGAAAAATAGGGAGGAACAGACCACATTTGACCAAAACCAAGCTAACGGGCAACAAATTTGGGAGCATATATCTCAACCCCTGCCTTAACATTTGTTCTAGTTAAGATGCCATGGAACAACTCTTTCCCAATCAAATATTGAGCCCAAACGGGCAAAAAGCTGCTCACATCATCCATAGTAGAAGGAGGTTGCACGTAAATCGGAACTGAGTGAACAGAGAAAGGAAAAAAGGTAGAGATTGAATTTAAGTTATAAAAGAATGTGAAAACGTCCCTATTAGATATATTAACAGGGCTCAATTGGTTGCTGACTAACCTATAACAACTAACCAACTTAGGAGGAGTTGATGGAGCACCAAGTTGTGGAAAATATGCTCTCAACCACAATTGAGTGAGCCAAAGAGGCCCGCTGCCAGTAGGAGATGCATCATTCCTCAACTGGAATTGAAAGTAAGCCATGCCTCTATAAAAGGCAGCTAAGAATAACGAACAAAGATTTAGAGACCTAGCACGCGCTAATTCATGCGCTATGGGCAAATAGATCATAGAAGGTTTAACGCTGGGTACACAAAGAACATATTTACAAAGCCAAACTTGAAGAAAGGCAACACACTCAGCATGGGTAAGTTCAGCACTATAATTGTTATAAAGTTCTTGCATGCCCGAATAAGAATCGGTGTATCTCTTATCAAATTTTGGGGCAGCAGTAGTAACCAAAATAGCAGAAGAAATGGTGTCGCCCAGGGGCGGAAGATTAACTAAGGCTCTAACATCCCTCAGAGTAATGGACATTGGGTCAAGTGGGAAGATAAAAGTATTATATTCAGAAGACCAAAATCTCAAAGTAATAGGGAAAAGCACATGATCATAGAGTGGAGGACGGAGAGCGATTTCTAATGAATCAGAAATCCCAGCACGATCAAAAATTGCCTTAGTAGGGCCATGATTTGTCATACGTACATGCCAAAGGCGGAAAGTAGTATCAGTTTTGGGCCAAATGCGAATACCTTTCTCACGTATTGGCTTTAGCGGAAAAGAGTTCAGAAAATGAGGATCTTAAGTGCAAGGGAACAATTGGCCCACCGCTGCTTGCCCAACAGAATCAACGTCATTAAATGATAGGCCCAGGTAGAACTCGTGGAGATCAGGATTGGCTAGTGAAAGGGAAGCTGGATTTATATACGGTTTTGTAAGAAACTTTTGGAAGTCTTCAAAACTAAGGGAGTTATCTGAAGAGCTCTTTGAAGTCGCCATTTACGACAAATTATAATCTTCTCGAGGGTTTTAGGAGTATAAGTATTTGTAGTAGAGAAACAAGAAGATGAACAGTGATCTTTATAGGTAAAACGCGGAATGTGGGTATAATGGCACGATGAAGTGGCGTGCTCTTTGGTTTATAGGAGTTGGGTGATATTGCACTTTTCGGGATGTAGAAGGTCACTACCAAACAAAATAATGATTGAGATTTTCCGCCCTTTTTTGATTTCAAGCATTGCGGGAAAATATAAAGGACGAATATGATATAAGATTAATAATTGATATTAATTTTGTCATATTGGGGGGTAATTGTTGGCATACAAAAATGAGGCCCAATTAAATGGTCCAAAGAATGAAGCTCAGTTAGGAAATTCAAATGATGGACCCAAACGAGACCATGTAAAAATCCAAGACGAAGTTATGTAGCGAGGCCCATCATCGCTCAAGCCTGCGAGACGCCCAAGAGCTGGGCGAGTATAGTGTCTTATTGTTATTTAAAGCAACGGTTATTGAAACAGTTCATTCCACAATCCAAGAATCTCGTTTGCAAGCAGTTAAATGATGGGAGTAATGGCAGCAGTTAAAAANTATAGAGCGACGAGCAGTTTCCAAACAGTTTTACAAGGAAAACTGGCAAATGAGTATAAAAGAAAAAAGAAGACATAGAAGAAAAGGACCGAATCAATCACTCTAAAACAGAGAATTATGTAATTTCATTTCGTTTAGTTCTTATTGTCAACTTTCAAGTTACTTTGTGTGCTTGTGTCCCTTGGAGGCGTTTTGCTTCTTCCTAATTGTAATCTTCATAAATAAAGCACCCATCGTTGGGACTTTCTCTGAAGATGCTGTTCTTTGCACAATCGTCTTAACCTTATTTTAATTGTTAGCGAGACTCGATTTTCACCCAAAACAGCATTCATTCATGAGATTTCAGGAGTTGTTTGCATAGGACAAAGTGAGGATTGACATTTACTTAACAGGCCTTTTTGTGTGGCAATATAATTGTATATGTTTTTTCTTAAATTCTTCTTACAGAGACTTCAGGATTTAGAAAAGTGAAAAATCTGTGACTCAAATGTTTATTAGAAACCAAAGCTATCATAAAAATTTGGAATACTCTATGGCAGATTATGAGCTAATTCAGTTCAAAACTTAGAGATAATGGTTCCAAATTTGATGCACACCAAATAATCAGGAAACGGACAGCACAGAGAATCACATTAACACAACTTAGTGATGCACAGGAAGAAAGAGAATTTCATATGTCACACTTACCTCTTTTGGCAGGTAAATATAATTTAAAGGCATGGGATGGACACTCTGTTTTGTGTTCTCCACACAATTTTGAGAAGTATATCCATTTTCAGAAGACTTGGGAAGTGGGGCCAGGAAACAAGTTTGCCCTACATAATCAGTTGAAGGAGTGTCATTGAAGTAGAGAGCCATTAAATATGCCAATGGAAATAACGAAAAAAAAAAAAAAAAGATCATTATTTACATAGAAATTCCAAGAAAGCCAGCATTGATGGTCAATACAAGCTATCAATATAAACATTTTAATTTGGTGTACCAGAGTAAAGTCCTAACAGTCTGCGCCTTCGAATGCTCACCATGGCTGTTCCTGGTAATCCTTATAAGCTGCACAATAAGTTAGCTAATCCCCATGTCATGTCAAAAAGAAAAGATTAGAATGATACTTACACACACCATAAAAAATAGACAAATAAAAAAAAAAATTATTGTTAGGAATAAAATCCAGGTCGAATAAAGATGAAAAACATAGATCAATTTATAAAGGCTTAAGCTACTCCTCTTAATAATGTTGTCCTTTTAAGATGAAATCTCAAGTCTTAACATTTATGTCATAAGAGTGTTGAGTGGCAGAGAAACCTAATGCAACATCCAGAAGCCGTTCAGAGGCAGGAAACAACAAAGAATATATGAATAAAGTGATATACTTTATTCTAGACCATGAATATTTGATGATATGAAATATTTGGCCTATAAAAAAATTGCAGCACTTCATCAATTTATATGCACAATGTTAGTTTGTGTCAGTCCAAAAAGGAATTATGGCATTATCAGAGCCAGCAAACTATTTGTATAAGCATAATGGAAGACTCCGTGAAATTATCACGACAGTCTACTTAGTAACAGAGTTTTCAAAGACTCCATTGACTATAAAATAAACACAACAGGATCTTCCATTAATTCAACTTTTACATCCTCACATTGGTCAGAGGAGTCATCCAGGAGCCAAAATAGACTGATAGAATATTCAGAAGTCAAGAATAAGCCTTTCAAAACCAAGATTATGCTATAATTTCCTAAAGGATTGCCCAAACCTAAGATTATACTATCAATTATATAACTTGTAAAGGGAATTTCATGCATACATAATAAATTTCACATCTTTTCAAGAAAATCAAAGATGACAAACCCTTAAATCGTTGTGTAATTTCATCAAACAGACATCATCGACATGTGTAAGAAATAGAATTTAAAGAAATCTACATAAATCCCCAAACCAAATTATTTTTCAAGAAAACCCCAAAATGGCCCACGCGAGAAAGACACAATTGTTCATCATAAAAGTAAATGCCCAACCCCTAAACCCCATATACCAACTTGTACAATTAATAATCCAAGACTACAAGTGAACCAACGAAGACAAACAATTGTATGAACACACAATATCACGAATGCTATTATGAATAGTTGGGCTTTCTTTGAAAATACCTGGAAATCACAAGGCAAAAAGGCAATAAATTTGTACTAGAATTTGGCTCGTGGAGTCCGAGGAGAAATTTTAACTAAGAGAATTGTGGGGTTGTTTTGATCAGTGAATTATGAAGGTAAGTTGGTGAGAAAAAAGAAAAAGATTTACACTTTCATGATTCATCCACCACCTTTTGCATTATTTTCTCTGTTTTGGGTGACTATGGAGGAGTAGAGAGAGGGAGAGGTTGAATAAGAGAAGGGCAACGTCTGCTTAATGCTTCTAAATTCTTGTACTGCCAAGGAATTCAAGGACCGCAACGGCCTTCTATTCAAGCATTGAATATTGTGGATCCTAGGTATCTCGGGTGCAAACACGTTGATTATATAATGCCATTTTTAAAATTTAAATGATTAATAGGGAACATATTTCTTTAAAGTTAAGTACAATAAGAGAACAAAAAGTAAATTAGACTTTTGATTAGGTAGAAAAACGATGGCTTATGAGGTAGCATGGCTTTCAGTTTCAAATTAAGTGTGTGTGGTTGTTTGGACTAATGGATGTGGGTGTAAAGATAAACGGATAACATTTTATAAAGTCGACTAACGAAATTGAAATATAAGAAAAAAGGTTTAGAATTAAGGACTAAATAAATACACGTTTACATATTTGGACGGGGCAAACAACAACTGACTTATAAGTTGTATCAACTTTTCTGTTTTCAGATAAATAAATCCAATAATTTGGCCCAACGGACATGAAGGTGAGGACCGACAGAAATGTATTAGAAGGATGAGTAACGAGATTGGAACCATAAAAATTTAGTGGTCATATGTGAGTCAATATATAAGTAATTAGGACCAATCACGTTTTAGAATTTAGATAATATTTAACCTTTCATATATTCTTCCTTGGTATTGTCGAAGATAGTGGGTGGAGCAAGATTTTTTTTTTTTTTTAATTGTGGAGGAAATAATTAAGTTGCTAAAATATTGTGAAACAAGATAACGGTGATGAAAATTTGTGGCAATAGCCCGTGCCAATGACTTGAGTAGTGAGGAAATGTTAGATTTCAATGAAATTGACAAAGCCCTAAAGATTGGACAAGAATGAGAAATGAATTGATGATTTGGACCTTTGTGGAGAAAATTTGTGAAGTGCACATCAGGCTAAAACAGGTTAAGAATGAAAATTAATTTTTTTTGAAAATAAAAAAAAATGTGGGGGTAAGTGGACCCACATGACCTCATGTGACTCTGCCACTGGTTGATGCAACAATGCTAGATGCAATTCTTTTTTATGCAGATGATCAAAAAATAATGAGATCATTGTCATATTATCAAATGTAGTTATGATATATTTATATTCATTGGCAGTGACACTATTACCAATAAACTGACGATCATTTTCATTAGAGACGAATAACATAATTCTTTATCGACGGATGTTTTGTACTTTTCTTTTTAATTATATTCAATCTCGCGCAATGCACATTCTCGAACATAGTATTAAGAATTTATGAAATAATTAAAAATGTAATTGGCGTGCAACGATGAAACCTATAAGGAGGTGAAATTCACGATTAACAGAGACTAAGGTTTAGTTTTATTAAAGCTTGATCAACAATGTTAGATTTGTACTATTGATGAATCGTGTCCTTTGTGTTTCAACATGAGCTTGATAAACAAATAATAAATTGAAAAGAATCCATCAAGAAAGTAAAAAAATAAGTAAAAAGATAAATAGCTAAAGTTATCCTACTTTTTGAAGTGAAATAGGTTTTTGTGCAAAACTCAAAACCTTATGACTCATTAGATTTTCCAAAATCCATTATTTTGGAGGTCAAATGAGCACGTTTTTCACTTTTTATTTTGATAATTAGGCTTGTACAAGGGTGGGCTCAGCTCTAAAATGTCATAAAAAATCACACAATAGTACCAGTTCGAACCTAAGAACGATATGAACATCATCGTCTTAAACCTTTACTTGTAGCGCCACCTTTTATATAAAGAAATGGGTAACTAGCACAAAACTTTCATATCTATCACTTTTATCGTACAAATCGTCATATCTTAATTTCACTTGTTATTGCACAAAACGTCAGTTTCGTCCATTTTCATCCAAATGTTTTGTTAAGTGAACATTACTTTTGTCGGGCATTTTCGTCTTCCCACGATTTCTGTTTTCTTCCCCTTGATTACCACTCTCTGAAGAACACGTAACATCACTGTGACAAAAGATCAAGCTACAGACCCATTTTCCCCCTTCAATGATTTTATGATTTGTTTGTTGTTTGCAGAAGATGGACAGATGGAATTTTAGGAAACAGTGTACAGAGATAAAGAACCAGGGTAGGAGAAGAATAGGGTTGAGAGGGTTCGAAGAGAAGAAGAGTTGAGAGATATGGTGTGCTCCTCGAAGACGACCAAAAAATATATCATGGAACTCCAAAGTATTGCACAATCGAAGCAGCCTGCCAATTTAGTATATCATGGAACTACAACAATTCAATTTCAAATAATCATGAAATCACAATAACAGTTCTCTCAGAGTGATGAAGAAAGAGAACCCTTCTCAAAAAATATATGACGCCTGAAGCATGATCTTTACTTGCATCATTTTCAGAATTTCTCGAAAAAAATTGTGACACTTTGATCCACAAACTTTGAGGCTCTATAGCAGTGGACATGTTCAACAGCATCAGAAACTTTAAAGTTGTCTTTGCCCCCAACAGTCAGAAACCTCATACTATCATTTGTTGGGTATTTTCACCACATCTCAATCAGTAATAACTTTGAAAAGCTTTGCTTCTTTGATGATGATTTCTTTGACTAACTATAAGCTTGTATTCAACATTCGCAAATCAAGGGGAACAAAATGGGAAAACTATGGAAAGACGAGAATACATTTCTCTTTGGACAAGAGTAGCGTTTACGCGTTCACTTAAGGGAGCATTTGGATGAAAATTGACAAAAATGATGTTTAGCATAATAAAAAGGTGGAAATAAGTGTGAAATGTCAAAAATTGGAAGGTTGAGACATTTTGCATAATAAAAGTGAAATGCATGGAGTTTAATCGTAACTACCCTAAAGAAATGGATAATTGACGCAATATCCCCTATTTTTTATTTTTTCGAAATGCCCCTCTAACCTTTCATTTTGGTACAAAACCTCCCTAAATCACCCAAACTTTGCTGAATATCCTTTGCCGTCTATAACCGCTAGTTTAGGCGTTAAAAACAGTACAAATGGTCAAAATAATAAAACCTGAACGAGTATTTGGTCTCTTCAAATCCAAACACTCACTTAAGGCCCTGTTTGTTTGATACTTGAATTGAGAGAGAAATCAACAGTCCACTGCGCATATAAAACCCCAAGAATCGATCAAAAAATTCAAAATTATTATTATTATTATTATTATTATTATTATTATTATTATTTTGTTCACTAGAGAAGTATCTACATGCTATTATGTTGTATTTTACTATGTTGTAATTTGCTGGTTGGATGGTTAATTCTATATTTTGCTAATTTGGATGGTAGTTGTTGTTGGATTAAGGTCAACATTAAGTATTTTACTTTGCTATTTGCTGGTGTAAGGTTAATTTTATTGTTACTTTATGGGATTACTTATGATTTATTTTAAGGTGTCAAAGTTCGCATTCTACTGATTTCTTTTACTGATTTCTGCTAGTTAAGGTTAGATTTATGTTTGTTTCGTGCAAAGTTTACTTAATTTAGAATTGTATTCCGCAAAGTTTACCATTTTCAGGGTTGTACTCCGCAAAGTATACCGGTTTCAGGATTGTACTCCGAAAAGTTTATAGATTCCAAGGTTGATTTGCACACAAACATTTCACCAATCAAATGTTGTTCTTATTCCTCAATACACAT